GGAAGTAAGCAGACTGAGCTCTCTTCGGTGCATTGGGATCTTTCTCACGTTTTGCTTTCTTGCCTTCCTTTCCGCTCTTTTCCTTGCGCTCCTTCTTCTCTTTTGGCTCCTTTTCCTTCTAAAAGTCGATACTTCAAAACTATACCATGAACATATTTGAGGAAAAATCAGTCAAATAAAATAACCTTCTTTTTCTTCTTTGGTGACTCCTCAGCATCTGAACCCCCTGCACCACCGCTTTCGCTAGATCCCGCATCTGAGTCGAATTCTTCTTCAGGTTCCGAACCGCTTCCTTCGCTTGAGTCACGGTCTTCTTTACGTTTCTTGATGTCCTCGTCAAGATCGTAGTCGTCATCCTCAGAATCCGAATCATCGTCACTTCCGGCACCAGTGCGTTCCTTTCCTTCTGCTTTAACGGTCTCTTTGTATGGATCGATTTCGTCATCCGAACCGGCAAAACGATCTTCGGCGTAGTTCTTGTCCTGCAAAAAGTAGCGATTCTTCCCCTTTTGTCAACGTGAGGCAGCTTACCATCTTTTTGGCATTGCGGATGCGCAAATGCTTGTTTTGAACGTAGTCATAGAGCTTATTGTACTCTTCTCTGAAAGTTCAACGATAAGACTAGAACACCCAGACACCCAGATGCAGGATAAAACTAACTTCTCTACGCTGTTAAAGACTAGCACTTGACCAGACTTGAGCTCGATTTCGAAATCAAAAGATCGCGTTGACACATCAGAACGAGCAAAGTGGACAGAAGCAACCTACAAGAATCGAAAAAAATTGAGAATATTCTTGATAGTAGAAGACACGATACCTCTTCAAATCGAATGTACATGGGTGGCTTGTGGATATAGAGGAATCCTTTCTCAAGTGGATAAAGGAAACCAGAAGCTTGTCTGTGAGCACACATTACCGCAGGAGTGCCAGAGTGCCTGGAAATGATATATGCGAAGTTCACTTAGGATTTGTAGGCTACGGCATGGCTCACCCTATGAAATT